TCACCCAGCCCCTAGAGCCTGGCACTTTGAACTTGGACTTAAAGCCTCCAGATTGTAAGAATAAACTCCTGTTTGTTAAGGCCATCTCATTTGTGGTATATTCTTGTCAGAGTGGCACTAGGTAACCAGAACACACTCCTATAGATGAAAGGATGATATAGTAAGTAAATTTTACTTTATCTTCATAGCATAGCAGAGTCATAGATTTCACTGTGTTATTCTCAAGAAAATTTTAGTATAATAAATGTGGATTCATTGGGACAAGACTATTTAGTAAGAAATATTTGCTTTACGCTTACTCCACTCACCATTACCTGTAAGAAATATTTGCTTTATACTTACTCCACTCACCATTACCTGCATTGGTAAGTGTAAATATTTTCCAAACAAGTTCTGTGCTCTTTGAATGCAAAAATAAAAACAAAAACAACCAAACTCACTGCACTTGAATCAGTTCCAACTCATAGCAACCCCTCTTTGGGTTTCCGAAGCAGTATTTCTACAGAAGTCTTCCTTGCAAGGAGTTCCTTCCAAAGAGTGACTGGTGGGTTTGAACCATCAGCGTTTTGGTTAGCAGTCAAATGCCTTAAGCACTATGCCACCAGAGCTCCTTCTTTGAATGCAGTCTTTGGAATTAACATCTGTGGACACTACTGAAACTCTTTGAATGGGAAATGAATAGTAGAGTGCTATTTAAGATCTCTTTTTCTCAAAAATATGGTCTTCATGCTTTATAGACACTTGTAAAGCTTAAACTCACTGATGCTGGTGGCTGAAAAATTTCTGTTGCCCTGGGATGCAAAGCTGACCAACAAGATCCTTGAAGCACCTCTGCAGGTGAACTTAGTCCAGCCAACTTAGAAGATATCTGAAGCCCAATTCAGCTATCAGCTATTACTTTTAGAAATCTCTTCCATAAAATACCATAAGAAGCTTCTGAAGGACAGCCTACTCTGGGCTAATCAGGATGATCTAGCTCATGTGGGGTGAAGAATTAAATCAAGTCAGTATGCTTTTTTCTCAGGTTGTTTCAGTCTTGGAAAATGTATACTGTACATGTATATAATGTCTGCTGAATCATTTTGTCAAGTTCTGTTCCTATTGCCTCTGTTACTGAAAAAGCTCAGATTTCTTACTCATAATCTCACAGAACTATTACAACAGCCCTGAAAATGCTCTCCCAGCCTGACCAATTCTCATTTTAAGAATTTAAAATTTTTAGCATTATTAAAAACTCCTTTGTATTTATTCTTCTAGTTATTTTTTCTAGGTGAATACATATTTTAATAAAAAGATAGTTTTTTAGGAACTTGATTTTTTCCCCTTAATAAAAAATCCAAACACTAGATTATTCTTAATACAAGTTATATTGTGTGATTTTGATTCTATGGCTTCAACATTAAGGTCAATTTATTTAAGTACTGGAGGAAGTCACATCCCTCATTTCCTGACCTCTAAATTGCGGCTACCATGGTAGGATCTTAAAACCAAAAGCCTGATTTTAGTTCCTTAAATTCAACTTCTCTGTGTCCTTTACTACTTCTACCCAATATTTTACTAGAGGTCTGTCTTGGTTACCTAGTTATGATGTAAAAAAAGATACCACAAGTGGTGGCCTTAAAACAGATATGTATTTTTCTCCTATTTCAGGACTCTTGAAATCCTATTTCAGGATGTAACTCGGAGGGAGGTCCTTCTTTGTCTATTTCAGTTTCTAGTCGCCAGCAATCCTCGGAATTCCTGGGTTTGTAGAATCATCTTCTGTCTCTGTTGTCATTGTCAGATAGAATCTACCTTCCCTCTGAGTATTCATGACTCTGCTTTCTATAACTCAAAAAGTGATTAGATTTATGACATTGGTATGGCCTCCTTAACATAACAAAGAGAATCCTATTTCCAAACAGAATTACATCCACAGAATATGGATTAGGATTCTAATAGATTTTGTTGGGGGAGACAGAATTCAATCCAAAACAATCACTTGCTTTTTTAATTAATCACTATGTTAAGTGGTTAAGGTATTTAGCTTCTAACTAAAAGGTCAGTGGTTCAATCCCAGGTGGTCTGTGGGGGAAAAGTGAGGCAGTCTGCTTCCCTAAAAATTTACAGTCTTGGAAACCCTATGGGGATGTTCTACTCTGTCCTATAAGATTGCTAGGGCTGGGAATGGACTCAATTGCAGTGTTTTTGGTTGGTCTCCTACACTAGATACATTCCATGAAGACACATATCTTTGTGTGTCACATACATTTCTGATGGTTAGAATGGCTTACTGGCCTAGACAGTACCTGGAGTACTTGAAGTACTCAATAAAATTGTTTAAATGAATTAATGAAAGGATTCGTGCCCTGTCATTCTTCATTTTATGTGTCAACTTGGCTAGGTTATGGTATCCAGTTTGATCAAACACTAGTGTAGACGTAGCTATGAAGATATTTACATGTGATTAGCATTTAAATCAGCTCAATTTAAGTTAAGCAAAAGATAGTCCAAAATCTGGGTGACCTTCATCTAATCAGTTCAAGGCCTTAAGAATAAAAACTAAGGTTCTTGAAGAATAAAGAAACTCCTTCAAAAAAGTAAATAGACAAAACTGCTGGGATTTCAAGCCTGTAGATTTTAGACTTCTTAGCTCCCTCAACTGTATAAACTAATTCCTTAAAATCTCTCTGTCTCTCTGCATGTGTATCCTACTGCTTCTGTTTCTCTAGAGAATCCTAAGAAATGTCCTAGGCTTCTGTTTACAAAAAAGATGCAATTTGTGTCTGAAACATTAAGTGGGAACAGGAAATAGAAATAAATGTAGTAGTCATCAGGATATAGAGGTTAATTTAGCCTCTCCAGGGGGCAGTCAGTATTTCAGCTGGCAAACAGCCCATGGAGTTTCCTGAGCAGGATGTGGGTCTGAGCATAGAGTTTGTTTCTCGCAGCCTCAGTGACAACCAACTTGCTGGATTCTCCTGATACTCCTTGTTTGCTTTTGCTCTGCTCAGTCCCTGAGGAGTTTGGGAACTTTGCTCATTCCCTCAGAGGAAGTCATCTCTTCTAAACTGGATGAGCTCTGCACAGGTTAGTCAGGTTGGTCTCATCCTTTTAGACTCTGGGCACCCCTTATAACCAAGGCCAAAGTCAGAACCCAGAAACACAGGCCAGAATTTTATGAGTCCACAAAGGCCATGATCAGCATATAACCTTGCAACAAGCAAAATCTCTCCACCAATTTTACTACATGGTTCCACTTTGTAATTTTCCCTCAGAATACACTCAATCAAGGCATATCAATTATCAGTCTCATCTTAGTATAAGCTGTTGTTAAAAATGAACACAGCCTTAAAGGTCTGGAGGTAAAATAACTTTGACTTATGACAAAGACTATAGAATTTCTTTTGAAAACTAATATATGAATAAAAATTTAAAAAGTATTTTCAGAAGATTAACACTTTTATGTGAACCAATTTATGTTTCTTAATTCTAAATTTAGTTTAATGTCATTAAACTTAACACACTATTGATCTCTGATTTACTATCTGAAAATATTTTCCCTCACATATACTACAAATTCTATACTGGGTGATAATATATAGATACATTTTGACCACAGGAATTAATTTTTTAAAAATATTACATTAATGGTATATTATTAGATCAAAGTTTACTAAATAAGAGGTTTTATGAAGAAAACATTTTTCTACCAAACTCTCTCTTGAGAGCCCCCTTAATCTCATTATTCCTGAGACTATATATGAGAGGGTTCAACATGGGGATCACCACCATGTAGAACACAGACACTACCTTGTTCTGGTCAGTGGAGTAGCTAGACTTGGGCATCACATAAATGAATGTAACAGTCCCATAGAACAGAGTGACTGCGGTAAGATGGGAAGTGCAGGTGGAGAAGGCCTTGTGGCGGCCCTCGGTGGAATGCATCTTCAGGATAGTGATGAGAATATAGACATAGGAGATGGCTATGATAAACAATGTGACCATGATGTAGAATCCAGCAAAAATTGAGGAGACCACTACAACGATACTGACATCAGAACAGGAAAGTTCAACTAAAGGAGCAAAATCACAGAAAAAATGATTGACTTCATTAGGTCCACAGAAGACTAAAGAGAAGAAGGAAATAGTAAAACAAGAAGCATAGAGAAAACCACCTACATAAGCCACAGAGAATAGCTGGACACAGACTTGTGTGGACATTTTGGTTGAATAAAGCAGTGGGTTGCAGATTGCTACAAAGCGATCATACGCCATGGCACCCAGAAGAAAGCACTCAACACTCCCAAAGAAACCGGCTGAACCAAGTTGGATGGCACATCCAACATAGGAGATTGTATTTCTCTCCACTAGGAAGTTTATAAGCATATTGGGTGTGACAGAGGATGAGTAGCCTATGTCAGCCAATGCCAACTGGCTCAAGAAGAAATACATAGGATGATGGAGCTGAGAAGAGATTCTGATAAGAATGATTGTGCTGAGATTGCCAAATACAG